AAGCCATGCCAGGTCTAACGTTGATGCTGTTCCCAACAGAATGATGTTGGATTCACATCTCCACCTTGTCCAGCTTCTAGCTGGACATCCCAAAGTAAAATAGCGTAAACACATAGCCTGCATTTTTCATAATGTACATTGATGAACACCCCACAGCAATGACCCAGAAGGAGTGATAAACCCATGGAAATCTAGTCGATGGGAACTCCCAAACACCTTCACCAGTCTGTACAACATCACGTACGAATAGACCAAGCCACGACCTGTATGATAAAGAAAGAGGGGAAATTTGCACAGCCACCCATAGGACAACCACAACACAAAACAGGGGAAATTTGCACAGTCACCTCAGAATACAGTTCCTCCCATAAACTCTCGATTGTTGAAACTTCGTAGTCCCTTGGTGGTGTGGAAGGGGCATTAACGGAACTCTCAGCCCGTGAGTCTGCTGCTTTCCTCTCCTTCCGAAGCAACATCAGCATCCGCACTGCATAAGCCTCCACAGAACGCTTCCTGTTCAGCTTGAGGTTTGATGACGTGCGGAATGCTATCCCCTTCCATCTTCGGTCTCTCTCACATGACTCGCCAGTGGTGTTCCCACCTCTACTACTCCGGAGCCCCTTTGCCGAGGGTGAACGCTCCTGCAGGCATGCAGCAAGGGGCACATTAGGGACGATAGAAAACAAGTCACTGAGAACTACGACTGCCTAAACACAGAGAAAGCTCATGACCCATAACCGTTCTCATCCTTGAAAAACAATAAATGGTGTTCCTTGCACAGTACATGCATACACACATGTGCTCACCATCTCATGGAATCCATGTGCCGACTGTGCCTCTCACGGATCTAGACCACCGTCTAAGGTCATAACATATGGTGGCTGTGGAGCTCACCATCATGACAAGCTCAATCATTCCAACAACACACTGTACTGCTCCCAAGCAAGCAGGTCTGTGACTGCCATACCAGAAATTTTGTTCTTTGGGCGAGCCCACCGCTGAGATCTACATGTATAAGACAAACACACACTTATAATACAGAACTTCTGAAATGCAGGTCGGAGTTACACCACCAGTACCTCGCCCAGCCAAAGTTTTTGCTCTTCCTGAATTCATGGAAGACTTCAGCAGGCATGGTAGAGGCTCGGCACAGCCTCAACACTGCTACGGAGGTCGTTCATTTAAAAAACGAGAACGAGCGACCAGAGAATACAGAAAAGAAAACGAAGAGTCGGAAGGGGAAAAAAAAAAGCAAAAGAAAAATTTGGAAAGAAACGAAGTTCCTCTCGAAGTGGCAGGGGAGGCGGGTTGCAGTTTTGAAACAAGGCAGCTCTCCTGACTGTCCCGTGTAATTCCCCCCCACAAAAAAAGAGCTATTCCATGAATGTGCTCCGCGAAAGGAAAGTGGACAGATACAGAGAAGATCAGCATGGCCTTGAGCAAGGATGAATGACAAATAAAAAAAAGGAGGATACAGCACAGTACCTGTCTCTTATACACATCTAGATGTGTATAAGAGACAGCCGTACATGCATACACACATGTGCTCACCATCTCATGGAATCCATGTGCCGACTGTGCCTCTCACGGATCTAGACCACCGTCTAAGGTCATAACATATGGTGGCTGTGGAGCTCACCATCATGACAAGCTCAATCATTCCAACAACACACTGTACTGCTCCCAAGCAAGCAGGTCTGTGACTGCCATACCAGAAATTTTGTTCTTTGGGCGAGCCCACCGCTGAGATCTACATGTCAAAGACAAACACAGAGTGACAACTGTCTCTTATACACATCTAGATGTGTATAAGAGAGGGGGCTTATACAGCTCGATACGTTTTGTCCTTTGCGCATGAGTTGTCACTGACTTAGGGCCTAGCTCCACTACTCATGAAATGTGCAAAATGAGAACGAATCTTCCGCTAGAACAAGGAGAGAATTCGAGACATACATCGCCATATTTTTGTCTTCTGGGCATGTTGTGGAGAGTACTGGAGTGAAGCCCTTACTATGCCAGAAAGAAAAAAACGGACTGAATAATGTGCCGGTAGGAGACCCAATACAGACGATATTAGCATAGCCCTGAGTAAGGATGATAGGCACAAATCAAAAGACTGCCTTCGGGCAGAGAACAGGCACGGGGATGCAGGTGGTGAGTGGTTGAGCGAGGCAGAAGAAGAAGAAAAGAAGAAAAGAAGAAAAGAAGAAGAAGAAAGAAGACCACAACAACCACAATAATTGCTCCATCCTTTTCTACAATTCTATCATTTGGAGCTTAGGCCGAGCCTATCAGCAACACCACATCAACCGGAGTGTGGAGGTGGGCTGGCTGGGCAAAATAGTTGTGGTATGAACAAGAGTTGAATATCAGATCACTACTTTAATAACATAAACTTAAGTGCTACTCCCTGGCTTAAGAAAACTGAAAGAAGAGAAAGGAGATGTTGCCCTTCTTTAACAGCAAGTCACAGCCATGCATCACCTCATTGCAGCCTATTCCTTAAAAAACTCAGGTCATTTCTCACCACTGATGCGAAAAGCCTATTCCTTAAAAAACTCAGGTCATTTCTCACCATCAAAATTTATCAGACATTTCGGTGTGCAATTCAAGGGCAAGGAGTACTTGAGAGGAACGAAGAGAGGAATTGTTACCTCCACCCTCCAGTCATTTGTATCTCCGCGTGGTAGGGGTCGCTCCGCCGAACTGTCATGCCTAAGACGATCCACTCTATCAGCTTTGGACTTGTCCATCGCACCGTCCTCCTCCCTTTCCCTGTCCTTTTGCGAAGGTGTTCTTGAGCCTGGCAGCCCAGATCCATCCCTCAGCCCCCTCCTCCTAGATATGCTTCTCGACCCATCCTTGTCAGCTGGTATTACACCGTCCCTGTCTCTCCATACGAGACCTCCCTTTCTCTCTCTAGCTTCCGCTGCCAACCCTATCATAATCTTACTCTCTCCCATCGCTGTGGTTGCAAACTCAGGCTCTGTACCTCCCACCATCTCATCACTCTCCCTCAATTGGTCTTCCTTGCTGACTTCTTCAAGGCCACTCAAACTGGCATCTCCTCCACTCTCCATTCGCACAATATTATCCATTTGCCTCCAAAACTCCTTCACTTTCGCCGCTATGGACGAAGCTACGTTCCTTTGAGCCAATTCCCACTCATCAAGGTTTAGATCCCTTCTCTTTTTCTCCCCACTGGCACTCCGAGCAAACTGTCGTGCCATGGCTAGTTTCCACATGCGTTCCTGGAAATGCACATGCAAACACATCACATATCAAAGGCTGCACAATTCCCCACCATGCCACTTGCCGCCCTCTAACTGCCACGCAATAGACTCATGCGAAGACGTTAGGAAGGGCAGAAGGGGGACCGGGTAGAGGGAGGGGGGGGG